GTTCTGCACCTCACCACCCCGTCTCGTTGCAGGAAGTTCTACTACATCACACTGCTGCGCGACCCCGTGTCCCGCTACCTGAGCGAGTGGCGGCACGTGCAGCGCGGGGCCACCTGGAAGACCTCCCTGCACATGTGTGACGGGCGCACGCCCACGCCCGAGGAGCTGCCGCCCTGCTACGAGGGCACGGACTGGTCGGGCTGCACGCTGCAGGAGTTCATGGACTGCCCCTACAACCTGGCCAACAACCGCCAGGTGCGCATGCTGGCCGACCTGAGCCTGGTGGGCTGCTACAACCTGTCCTTCGTCCCCGAGGGCCGGCGGGCCCAGCTGCTGCTGGACAGTGCCAAGAAGAACCTGCGGGGCATGGCCTTCTTCGGCCTGACCGAGTTCCAGCGCAAGACGCAGTACCTGTTCGAGCGGACGTTCAACCTCAAGTTCATCCGGCCCTTCATGCAGTACAACAGCACCCGGGCAGGCGGCGTGGAGGTGGACGCGGACACCGTCCGGCGCATCGAGGAGCTCAACGACCTGGACGTGCAGCTCTACGACTACGCCCGAGACCTGTTCCAGCAGCGCTACCAGTACAAGCGGCAGCTGGAGCGCAGGGAGCAGCGCCTCCGGAGCCGGGGGGCCGTGTGCCCACCGAGGACTACATGAGCCACATCATCGAGAAGTGGTAGTGGCAGCTGGAGGCCCGTCGGGGGGAGGGGACATCGGAGAGGCTCACGGCTGTCAGCACTCGGGTGAGAAGAGTCCCGGGTCCACTCCCCGAGGGCAGGTGCGTCCGGAACTAAGACGGGGATGGGCAGTGGCCCGGTGGGGCTGGTGCTCCCCGGTTCCCAGGCCTGGGTCTGAAGAACCCATCTGTGCCGCCCACAGGCTCAGAGGAGGGCGAGCGGAGGCCAGGGGCCTGCACGGGCTGGGAGGCAGCAGCCCGCTGGCCCCTCACTTCACAGCAGCTGGAGGTTTGAAGATAAGGGACAGACCGTGGAGCCGAGAGTGGGGAGTGGCCCTGCAGACCAGGGGGAAGCGGCCCCTGCCCGCTGCGCACACCCCTCTCTCTCGGGCTGTAGGGTTCGTCCTGCTTGAGCCATCCCACGGCCCTGGGCCTCCAGCCCACTCCTTGGGCCTGCAAGCCCTTGAGGTGTCAGGAGGGGGCTCTACACTCACCTGTGTTCAGCAACAGGCCACCCCTCTGAAGCCAGGAGGACTCTGGTCCAGCCCTGGGAGCCCCCACCCCCACGCCCG